CTTTAGGGTTTTTGATATAAAATATCACATCATCTGCAAACTGTTTTACTTATTTTTCAAATTGGATGCTTTTAATTTCTTTTTCTTACCTAATTGCTATGGCTAGGACTTCCAATACTATGTTGAATAAAAGTACCAAGAGTGGACATACATGTCTTGTTCCTGATCTTACACAATGATGTTAGCTGTGGGCCTGTCATATATGGCCTTTATTATGTTGAAGCATGTTCCCTCTATACCCACTTTGTTGAGGGTTTTTATCATGAATGGATGTTGAATTCTATCAAATGCTTATACTGCATTTACTGAGTCAATCATGATTTTTATGCCTCAATTTATTAATGTGGCATATCACATGTTGATTGATTTGCAGATACTAAACCATCCCTGCATCCCTGAAATAAATTTTTGATAGGTATGTACTTACTGCCATCTTGTTAATTGTTTTCTGGCTGTTTTTGTAGTTCCTCTCTGTTCTTTTCTTCTTTCCTCACTCTCTTTGTGGTTTGATGGCTTTCTTTAGTAGTATGTTTATACTGCTTTCTCTTTATCATATGAGTATTTACTACAGGTTTTTGCTTTGTGGTTACCAGAAGGCTTACATATAACAACTTATCTCTACAGTAGTCTATTTTAAGTTCATAACAACATAAGTTTGATCACATTTTAAAGCTCAACATCTTTACTCTTCCTCTTCCATGTTTTACGTTATATGTTTCTATCTTCTGTATCCCTTAATTATTGTAATCATAGTTATTTTTACTTTTGTCTTCTACACTTCACCCTAACTTTATGATTATTCCACTACCTTTAGTATATATTTGCCTTTCCAGTGAGATTTACTCTTTCATATGTTTTGTTGTTATTAATGTCTTTTCTTTTCCACTTAAAGAAGTCCCTTTAACATGATTTAGTGGTAATGAACTCCTTTAGGTTTTGTTTCTCTGGAAATCTCTTGATCTCTCCTTCACATCTCAATGATAACTTTGCTACGTAGAGTGTTTTTGACTGGAAATGTTTTTCTTTTAGCACATTGAATATATCCTGCCACTCCCTTCTGGCCTGCAAATTTTCTGCTGACGAATTTGATGATAGTCTTACGGGGTGGGGGGGAGGAGTTCCTTTATATGTAACAAGTTGCTTTTCTTTTGCTGCTTTAAAAATTCTCTCCTTGTCTTTAAACATTTTTTTTTTTAAAGATTTTATTTATTTATTTGAGAGAGAGAGAATGAGAGAGAGAGAACACATGAGAGGGGATAGGGTCAGAGGACGAAGCAGACTCCCTGCCGAGCAGGGAGCCCGATGCGGGACTCGATCCAGGGACTCCAGGATCATGACCTGAGCCGAAGGCAGTCGCTTAACCAACTGAGCCACCCAGGTGCCCTAAACATTTTAATTATAATGTATGTTGGTGTGGGTCTATGAGTTCATCTTAATTTGAAGTCTCTGGGTTTCCAGGATCTGGGTATCTGTTTCCTCCTCATGTTAGGGAGGTTTTCAGCTATTATTTCTTCAAATAAGAAATTTGCCTCTTTCTCTAGCTCTTTTCTTCTGTGACTCTTAATAATGTGAATATTAGTCTCCTGATTTGTCTAATAAGTCCCTTAAGATATCACTGTCTCATTCTTTTTTGTATTTGCTGCTCTGATTGGATAAGTTCTATTGCCTTACCTTCAATCTCACTGATCTTTTCTTCTGCTTCATTTAGTTTGTTGTTGAACCCCTCTAGTGTATTTTTCAGTTTGGTTATGTCAGCTCTGTGACTTCTACTTGGTACTTTCTTATGTTTTCCATCTCCTTGTTAAAGTTCTCACAATGTTCATCCATTATTCCCCCAAGTTCAGTGAGCATCTTTATGATCATTACTTGAATTCTTTATCAGGTAAATTACTTATGTCTGAAAAAGTTTTTCTTTTTCTGAGGTTTTATCTTATTCTTCCATTTGGAACATATCCTCTTTTTCATTTTGCTCTACTCTGTGTTGGTTTCTATGCATTAGATAAAACAGCCACCTCCCCCCTGTCTTGATGGAGTGGTCTCATGTAGGTGAGCCTTGTTGTTCAACCCTGCCCTACCTCTTGGCTATCCCAAACTTTTGTGCTTGTCCAAGTAGTCTGTTATATTTTTAATAGCTCCCAGTAGTTAAGTAGATGCCAAGACCTATTAGTGTCCCGAAAAGGAGGATTTCAACACCTAGAATCAAGCTAATGAGAAGCCAGATCATCAGGTAGCAGCTTTTAAAAGTATGCAAACATACATAGTCCTATGAGATTACAAGTGTAGCCCCACTGGCCATCAGAGCCAGCAATCTGGAGGTGTCCTTTGGGTGACAATTGCAAAAATTAGGGCTCCTGATGAGTCTGCAACCCCTCTTCTGAAAGATACTGGTTAGCTGCAGCAAGACAGAGGGAGACTGTGGTGTCCACAGCCTCCATTCTTCGAGACCAGCTCCATAGACCACTAGATGTATGTCAAACCTGAATCTGCGCCTCAGATCAAAGCTCCAGGACAAGCAAAGAGGCCTCCTACATAGAAAGACTGGGAAGTGTGCCCCAGTCTGCTGTCTGTGCAGTGCCTTGGAAGTGGAAGCCTTCTAAGAACTGTCTCTCCATTTGGCACAGTTCTCTGAGACCCAGGAATTTAAGATCCCTGGCCATCAGAGCCAAGTGATCAAGTGGTATCCCCTGGGTGGCAGATCCAAAAACTGAGGCACTAGACATAAAAGCCAAGGTGTCAGACATGTGTAAAAATTCCCTTTGGGAGACACTGGCACTCTGGAACACAACAGAGGGAAAGTGCAAAGATAGTGCTTGCCCTCAGATCTCTGAAAAGGATTACAGTTAACCCTTAGATGCATATTTAATTAGAAGCCTGCTCCATAGGCTGCAGCCATAATTAGCTAATAGATCTCCTCAGAAAGACCTAGCCTCTTGCAATGCCTTGGGGCTAGCAGCTGTTTAAGAATTCTTTTTCCATTGGTGACAGTCCTTTAGGACCCACGAGTGTTAGACCCCACTGGCTACCAGATCCAGATGATGTGGAGGTGTTCCCTGGCAGCAGCTGTGAAAGTCAGGGCACCAGAAAAGGGCATAAGCTCCTTTTTGGGTGACATTGATTATTCCAGTCCCCTGGGGCAGGAATGCAGCTTCCTGGCCTCCAGAGGCAGGTGATCAAGAGGTATCCCATGAACAGCAGGTGCAAAAATCTGAATATCAAATCTGTATAGAAGTTCCCATCTAGGAAATACTGGTGCTCTGGAGCACGGCAAAGAGAGAGTGCAAAGATGGTGTCTACTAGTCTTTGTCCCTATATACTATTCCAGCAGGATCTTAGATGTGTATGTTAAATTAGATGCCTGTCCCTTAAGCTGATGCTCTAATATAAGCAGGTAAGCCTCCTTTACTTTAAGCAGTCTGCTGCCTCTGAACCCAGGCTGTGTGTGGGTGAGTCCAAATGTGTGTCTTTAAAAGCTGTGTCTCAAATTCCTAGTCTTGTGGATCTTGAGACATGAGCCCCGTTGGTTTTCAAATTTAGATGTTTGGGGAGTTTATCTCTCAGGTTTAAGTTTTGAGTCTTAAAAACTGGGGTGCCCAATGTGGAGTTCAACCCCTTTGCTCCTCATGGAGGAGCTCTGGGTTTTGAGTTCCTTTCTAATTATGGGTTGCCAGACTGAGAGTGGGGTTTATGGGCAGACTGTGTCCTAGCCTCTCCTCCATTTCCATGTGGTTTTCTTCTCACTTGCCTAATGTGTATGTGTAATCATCCCTCAGCCAGTCTTTAGTTTTTTAAGAAGAATATTTTCCATACGTAGCTGTAGACTGAAGTGTGTCCATGGGAGGAGGTGAGTTCAGGATCTTCCTACATCACTATCATGAACTGTTCTCCTCAGGTATTTTTATTATACACATTTTAGAGATGAGGAACTTGCATAGAGAGGTGAATCTGAAAAGAATTTAGTTATCTAGCCTAACCCACTCATCTTACAGATGAGAAACTATTGCTAATTAGGGACTATAAGCAAACTGAATGCTTGGAAGGCAACCAAAATTATATCATTACATTTTTTCCTAACATTTATAAAGAGAAGAATTTTTTAAACTTCTTTTTAAAGTAATCTCTACACCTAACATGGGGCTCAAACTCACAACCCCAAGATCAAGAGTCGCATGCTCTACTGACTGAGCCAGCCAGGCGCCCCTAAAGAATTTATTAAAAATTATTAGGGGCGCCTGGGTGGCTCAGTCATTAAGCATCTGCCTTTGGCTCAGGTCATGATCCCAGGGTCCTGGGATCGAGCCCCGCATGGGGCTCCCTGCTCAGCCAGGAGCTTGCTTCTCCCTCTTCCACTCCCCTGCTTGTGTTCCCTCTCTCGCTGTCTCTGTCAAACAAATAAATAAACTCTTAAAAAAAAAAAAAAAAGAAGAGCCGTGCAAATGCGAGGCCTATGCCTACAGCACCGGCCAGGTCACAGCCACCAGGAGCACTGGGACTGAAACACTGAAATGGTCGTTAAATATATATGAAGGCTAAGGGATCTTACGAATCTTTCTAAAACACTTTTCTGACATCAGTAAAACAAACTATGCCACTAGCTGTATTTTCTCTTCTTTGTACTTGTATTAGATATATAAGTAAATCAAAAAGGGAAAAAAAAGACATCCATACTATATTACCCCACAACTTAATTTTTCCTGTTGACAATATATATATATATAGTCAATATACATCATGGATATATTTAGAAACCAGTTTAGACCTATGTTCCTCTTAATTTCGTCAACGATGTTGATGTAAATGCTATCTAATTTCATCAATCATGTTGATGTAAGTCAGATATGCTAAAATTTTTCAGCCACTGTTAAATTTTTTGTCTCATTTATTTTGTAAAAGGCATAGTTCCTGGTCCCTGGTTTTATCCAAATGAGACTATGCAGTATGCATTTCAATGCTGATATTAAGGTATAATTCTACTTATTAAAAAGAAAAGGCAGAATTCTTACCCCATCTCCAGTTTTGTGAAAATCAAGATTGGGCAGTGTTGGCATATGAACAAAGGCTTTTTTCCTTAGTCCACTGTAGCAATATGTAATAAACAGTTAAGGTCTAAAGCATTCTAAATTAAATGAATTGCTTATATATAATCACCATTTGAGAAGTAACCATATATGAAATAGGAACAAAATCAGCACGAGATAACATCTACTTTCAGAGTTCTTCAGTAAGAGAAACCTCAATATTATAAATTCAGGACACTTTCACTGTTTTGAAATTGGAATAGTCTCTGTAGAATGTTATTGTCTTAAACGAAACAAAATGATTCTCATCGCTATAAATTTTATGAATAAATGTTCCTAATAGGCTATGCCAACCACCAGTAACAAACAGGTCAGAAGGAAAGGAATATCCAGATGGAAACCTGGCACAGCACAGGGAAACTTTAGCCCAGGGCACTGGGACAAAAACAACTCTAAAGAGTGTCACAAGGGCTTTAACCTTTTCAGTTCTTTTTCCACTGAAACACACAGGATTATCACCTGTAACATGCCAAAGACCCATCAAGACAGTTTTGCTTGTACTCAGAGAACAAGGATGGGTCATGCAACAAGTGAGCAGAGAGCACCTGGAGCTGTTTCAGAAAAGCAGTGTCCCCTTCCTTCCCCTTTCCTCTCATCTCCACAGAAGCGGGTTTCTGTGCTTTGAAAAAGGCCAAGGGCTACGTAAAGAGAAATAATATTTTTCTAATACAGAGACCCTCTATTTTACAGCCTTCTGCCAAGAGTCAGAAGGACTTTAATAAATTCTTCATTTTCATTTCCTTCTGTTTGCTACTAAGTATGTCTCCGTCACAACAGGGACCTTTCCTATGCTCTGGCTTTAATTTTAATACAGGCTTTAAATGGTTGGCTGAAAAAATACTTTAAAGAGAATATAATCATCCAGGACAAGTTCCACAGGAATTTTTCCTGAGTGGTGTATATTTTGCCAAAGAGATCCCGATGTTTCTAAATTACGGGAAGGAGACAGCTAACCTCTTTCTCCATTTTTACTGATATGATTTACAATAGCTGCACTGTGACCTATCTCAGTTAATTCTTATTGTTAAAGAAAAGGAGATTGGACCATTAAGAACACACATTACAGTGACAGAATATGGTGAAATCTATCGTAATCCTAAAACCACTATTTGTTATTTCTCTTGTAGTTTGATATATAGCCAGGAAAATAATGTTTGCAATTATTCTACTAAGAACTTTGAGTTGCTTATATTTGTTGACTTAAATTTACTTCTAAATATAGTTGCTAGTTGAACTACAACAGCAGATGTTCTAAGTGATTACTAAAGAGAGTACTAAAAACCATTCCGGTAAAGGATATTTAGATTTGCCTCTTGTGCCCAGACGACGTGCCTTCATGTTTGGAAAGACATTTTTCATGATCTTTCCAAAGTCAGCAGCACTTAATGGATGGTAACCAAGATTGTCACAATAGCTCCTGCAAAAGAAGGAGGGACCAATTTAGAGCAACAGAACTCAGAGTTACACAGGACAGTGCTATTTCAATACAATTTGACCACTTTAACAAAATTAAAAGCCACATCTTCAAGTCATTCACCACAAATTTCACTGATCATAACTCTTTGGAGACTAACTCAGGCTTAGTTAGCTTGTTTCATCCTCAAGGTATACAGTACCACTGCTTTCAATAGCATCCAAAAAAACTCACTGTAAGAGATACCCCAGTACAGAGTTTTCCAATTATAACCCAACCCTGCACTCTGAGATGAGTATATCCAGCTCAACCAGTAGGGCTCTACATTTCCACAGAAGTATCAAATTCAAACACTGAGATAATTTCCAACATACACATTACGTAAGTCAGACAGCAGAAACAAAACTATATAATTTAAAATAGAAACATGATATATTAGGCCTAAAAGGGACCTCAGGGATCATCCATACCAACACTCTCATTTTACTGATAAGGGAAAAAAATGAAGGCACAGAGAGAGATTCCAAAGGTCCAGTGTTCTTTCTTCACCCCCACCACTTCTATTATTGCCAGGAAAAAGTACTTTGTAAAACAGTAACTTCAAGTGGGAACAGGGAAACAAGCCAAGTCTTAACTACTACTGGAATCCAGTCATAGGTAAAGAGCCAATCCCTCCTGTACCAGTTCAGCAGCAGGCCAAGGCTACCAAGGCCTTTGAGAGGACCACTACCTGAGAAACACCAAAGAGGACATCAGAGGAATTCCATGGGAATCCAGTCATATTTCCCCACCTCACCTCTTATTTCAGCACTGACCAGAGCAGCTTCTTGATTATGCCATGCAGTGGAGAGCCAAAAAAGATTTAAGAAGAAACAAAGGAAAACAACTGAAGACCTGTGAACAGGATATAATGGTAACTGGGACTTCAGTTCTTGTAGACTGCTGAATATACTAGCTCTTGCTAGTATGTAAAAACATTATATATACTTACATGTATATTTATATTGTATTATCTATGTAACATAAATATATATAAGTATACATTTGTATTATGCAATACATTCCTGAAGTGACCTGAATTTAAGAAGTCAAACTGGGTGAGACTTAGGAGGAGGTAGGGACCCTGGGGAGCCTTAACAGAGACACTAGGGTCAGGTTTTGGAGACAATGGTATTATTCTTGATTGTGCCCTTCCTATACCCACACCAAATTCCACGTATCTCTGGTGCAGGTGTGGGGAGAGAGGAGCTGCCCAGCAAACACATTCCCAGCAATGTTGAAGAGGGGGGAGAAAGGAAAGGAGCTAACATGCATTGAGAATTCCCCTGACAGGAAGTATTAGATTAAATATGTCATATTTAACTTGAGACTACATGTAATACTCTGAGTGGTTCAGGTCAAGGTTGAAGGTACAAAGTGAAGAGGTAACTATTTTCCAGTGCTGACAATTTAAATGAATTGTATCAAATCATAACCATTTCAGTATCAAGTTAAATCAGTCATTTTTATGGTTTAAATCAGACCAGAAAGAAAATTAAATGACGTTCTTTTGCACCTCGGGGACTTGACATGTTCCCCCTACCTGGAAAAATTACTTTTCTTATTCTTCAAGTCCCAGCTGAAATGTTATTTCAGAAGTGTCTCTAATAACTCCCCTATCTAAAGCAGTGCCCTCCTGTGACACTCTCACCGTATTTATCAGTGTACTCTGTTTTTTTTCTTCTCATGACTTATAATAATTATGTAACAGCCAATTTCCTTGTTGTTTGCCTCCTCCCTTAGGCTGTATGTACAACCAGGGCAGTGACCATAACTATCTCGTTCACCACTGTACTGTCAGCATTAAGAACAAGATTTAAGAGTCACATTAAATTTTAACATAATATTATGTCAGGCTTAAAACAAGAAACTTTAAAGAAACACATAAGGCAATAAGGAAAACACTGTCCACAGAGCTCCTATGATAGCAATGGCATATATATGGGCCTAAAGAACCAGACACCAAATAAAGAGAAGCAGGGCAATGAGTCTAATGAGAAAGGTAATATAGCCATCCTTTTCTCCCTCTGGGACTTAGGTTTTCATGGTTTTTCATTATATTAGTCTACCAAATTTTTTTACTTTGGCAAAAGGGATGTGTGAAAGGTTGGCAAAGTAAAGTATCCAGATGATCACTACAGAATTTGCTTGCTAAATCCTGAGTGTGACTTCAGAATGTGAAATGTTTTTTGATTCTTATTTATTCCATTAAAAGAGAGGAATTCTGGGGTGCCTGGTGGGTTCAACTGGTAGAGCATGTGACTCTTGATCTTGGGGTCATGAGATTGAGCCCCATGTTAGGTGTAAACATTACTTAAATTTTTTTTTTTTTTTTTTTTTAAATAAGGAGGACATGTAAAAAGAGAGGGATTCCTCTTTTGGAAGGATTTTTTTTTTTTTTTTTTTTT